TGATACACATTTCTACCCAGGATAACCAGGCATCTTGTTTTCCGAGAGCCACTGTCAGTTTAGCGCTGTTTTGCGTGAATGATATTCCTCCCTGGAAGTGTAAAAACGGCGAATGTCCTAAAAACGTCACTTCATGAATTTCACACCAACCGGTGAATTTGCTGGTTCTTGATAGAACCAACCGTATTCCATTGGATGTCCCGTTGGAGCTGCGTGTCGTCTGTGATGTATCCCTCATTATTCCAGATGTAATGCTCTTTCGATACTGGAGTCAGGGACTAACGGAAACTGAATATCCATTTCTGCTGGCTGCTTTGAATGNTCAGAACTGCTTGTATTGTACAATTATTGATCGAAATTGTGCGATACCCTGACTTTCATCAAATCGCCGCCTACCCACACCGTGTTTTCTTGCCTTATTCACGGGCTAGAATGCGACATGAGTCCACATCAAACACAACATATTGGCGGTAGTATCCATTTATGTTGTTGTTTTTTGTGGTTTAATATCATATAAACGTACATTTTCTCCATTTGTACAATGGGCGGTGGTGGCCCGGTGGTAACGTCACCAAATTATCACCCCGGAGGACGAGTGTCCGAATCCCAACCACCGCCTGACTTTCCCCATTTGTGTGTTGTATGGCAGCCCTCTGATTGGCCACTTCCTCCTTCCTGAAAATTGTATCTTTGTATATATTCAATAAAAGGAAGTAAAGTAAAAAAGAAAAAGAAAAGAATGATTACTATCTCATCAGCTGTAAGATAACGAAACCTCAGCAGGGAAACATTAAAATATATAAATTATTATTATTAGAATATATTTCTCAAATGTGACTCATGTATGATGCACGTATTGTACGTTCATCTTGTCTATAATCCTTTTCTCCCTCTTTTATTTTTGAGTCCTCTTGTCGTTCGTTTTTGCATGGAGTTCGCCAAGTTAACAATCACATCGCACTTACCTTGGTTGATTAGGTGTTTTAGTACAAGCAAAGATCTGAAAATCTCTCCCTAAGTGATAGAAAATCAGATGTTACAATATTGTAGAGAAAACATTTTGTCACCCGTGAGTGAAATGCTCGGAAGCGAGACGTCAGATTCAGTAGCATCTACCATTCATAGCACTGTAACTGAGCACATGCGTTTTGGTAGACTGTCATAAAACATGGTATTTTATGATGCAGTAACTGGAAAGAAGATGAATAACAAGACCAGAATAGGCGCAAAGTATTGGTGATGATGTCTTTAAAGATCACAATCGTTAGACTCAAAAACACAGGCATCCTGTTTTTCTACTAAGATATTTTTCAAATTGTTTATATGACAACTTTGTTCGAAAACGAGCAGCAACTTTGAATCTGAGAAGCACTTTAATACANTCGCCTTGGATGCCATCAGCAACGCCACTCGATTAACCCAATTCGGAATCGAACACGAGACATCACTCATTTGATCATTTTGCCTATACGGCCGGAGTTAGACCTAATATTCCATTCGATCTGCATACAACGAAATCGATCACATAAGCAAATCAAATTTGTTATTACTTCCTGTTAGTTTTTAACTCACAGTAGCCGCCGCCGTAGGCTCCGGTTGTGAGTTCCCCAAGAAGATTCACGTACTTTGATTTGGGCAGCCTGGCAGTATTTTACCCACATGCGCATGCTGGCACTTCTTTTTCCTTATCTGAAGAATATTGTACCATGATTTGTTTGCACGTTTGGAACAACACTGTCTTGTCACTTTGGTGGGAAAACACCTCCGCCACGAGTAGGTCTTCCTCAACTGAGGCCTTTTGAGACGCTTGGTCGTATGGGAGCATTTCGCGATGTGTAAGGGAACGGTGACCAGCCCCAATCCTAGACACCCACTCTGATCATACCGAGGTTTTCGGAAAACGGACAGAGATGAAGCGCCACAAAATCTCCCGGAAAAAAGCAGCGTCGAAGCCGTTGTGTAATCCTTCAAATTTGTGAACTATTTCTCGAACGGATACGGTGAGTTGGGCAAGCCAGAATCGCTAAATATTTATCTGGTACAAAGTTCATACACACTACTATGTGCATAAAACAGAATTCGGCAGGTGATCAGGATTTTCAAAGTTAGAAGCTGTTCATCCAAACAGGAAAACACATGATCGTCAAATGGCCCATTTTATGAACTAATACAAAACGACGAACATTCTACCCATCGTTGTGACTCTCCTCCTCACTGGCAGCATGAGGCTTGCTGCTCCCATCACTCATAGAAGTATGATGATGCGGTAACCAGTAATATCATTTCGCTTGTCAAGACTGCGATCTCTTTATGGTCCTCTATGTGTTTATACGACCATAAATCTACATTCACACACGACTGGGGAGCACTATTTCAAAATTTGCCAACTTAACGCATGCGGATTAGGCTTATTTGGAGTTGGTCTGTAGCAAGATGATGATCGAACAAAAGTGATAATTACTACGGAGTAAGCGTTGAAACGCCCACATCCATACACCCACATTACATTTCTTTTCCAAACCTGAACGATCCGGGCGAACCAGCTGGTTGGATGGATGGCCGCACGCGCGCGTTCTCTTTGATCTACCCAGTGTGCATCGAAATTGTGGTTCATAGATCGAATCGAGCGGGCCGAAGAGGAATCGCAACGAAGTCAGAAAAGATTGCGCAAATACACCCACACCCACGATCGCACGCCCTACAGCGTGCAAACTTTCTGACCCGGTTCGTCTGAGGATCAGTGCGATTCACTTGCTATGCTAATCAGCCAAGTGATTCGTGTACACTGGAACAGACATTATTATACTCATCGTGTGAACCCTGTCCTCATTTGGATAATATTCTCTCTATGTATGTAATACCCCATTTGTCGGTTGTTAATGAAAACAACTATTAGTTAGTCGCTTTGTTCGTCCTGTGTAAACTGCCACAAGCCGATTTGGTCCCTCCGTGCGATACAAAGCCATGGTCGTCATGCCTTGAGATTCAGCAAGAACTATTCATGTTCTGTCTCGGACGCCTACGCCTACGCATGCATCCCCAGGACCATGGCTAATCAGATGTGGAGTATTAACCCATTTCGTTGATGCGTTTTAACGCAGTTGCTTCATCTTCGTATATTGAGTTACGTTTTACACACGATTCCACACGAACTCCTTCAACACGGGATATTTGCAGAAGCAGTACTGATTATAAGCAAACAAGGAGTGGACAAACTACGTAAAGCTAGTGACCAAATTACGTCGCGGTACTCATGTTCAGTTTGGGGTTATCCCAATGAATCGAATTGATAATTTCAGATAAAACCGAAGGTCGTAGGCATTGATGTATTCTTTTTACTTATCTAACCGTAGTTCCTCTCTATAATGAACTCCCTTGTGAGCGAGCTCATTGTTGCAATCTGAGGTGGGTTTACCACTGAAGCTCGCCCTGACAGAGAAGACGCCCATTGTCGGGTCGTATACCTACGGGTTGACAGAAAACGCTAGAGGTGGTAAAATGTTTTACTAAACGTGTGTAAGTACCGTAGTCCGTTTAGTTGCTTCGCCGATTGCATTTAAAAGCCCTTTGTAAATGGTGTGCATGGGTAATCCGAATATTCTGCAAGTGTGTTGCTGTGCCCATTCGACTGATTGCGACAACCACGGTGATAGCCATTACAAACGCACTACTAGCTTTTATTCTCATGGGAATTACGGTGCCTAAGTTCAGTTTCAGTTTAAACAACCATTAAGCATGCATTTCGGTGCGACGCTTTCGGTTGCTGTCTTTTGGCTGCCCATTTGGATGAACAGTAGGAGAAGGACAAGAAAGTTGAAAGTAGAGTGAAATAGAAAATTGTGAATTTCAGTGGACTAATGATGCAGAGAAATTGAGAAGATGCACGGACGACACTGTTTATGACACCCAGTCATATCGCTCAGTGTCTCTAACCATCGGTTACGACTATCCCGAGGTTCCCAGCCAGGAAGCCTAACGGGACCTATGTGAGCCAGTCTCCTGGTTAGGTTTTTCATGGCCTCCTGTCAGGTCTTAGGTTGATCACCCTTTGCTTTATTCTACCCACTACCCGCCTCAGCAAACATCGCTCGCCGTTGCAACCCATCTAATGATATGCGTAACACATTCCCTAACCAACGTAGTCTACAGAGGTCGACCACTTGCTCAAGTTCACTGGATTCATCAATAGCAACTTTGACACCGTGACATTGGAACGCGGAAATATCCCGTTGGATTAACCATGGAAAAATAACACATTCCTGTCCATTGATAATTATTTGAAGTTTATTTATTCGCACCGTAAGAGAGATTCCATTCTGTTCTGGTGTTGAGAGAACTTGAGTCCACATGCGTGTGAACAAGAGGCCAGGCTGGGAGCGAGAGATTCATAATTAAAGAAGATTTGGAGACGTTAACCGCCGAAAGTGATGACAGCTAAAAAGCACTGAGTCAGGTGAGGAGTATTTTTCAAGGCGGAAGACCATTGTGAAAATGTGTGACCAAATGGTCCAGGGAATTTATGACCGAAACGAACAAAATAGAGTTTAGCTTTAAGCTACAAATAAAAACACGAGAACCGTTTAGTGGATGAATGCTTTCTGATAAGAAATGCTACGGACAATTTGTAAGTTTATTATTTCAAACGCGATGGGTATCCACTAATGGGAATCAATCGGAAAATGAGTGGGTGTTGATAAGACGTCTCTATGAGTTTGAAACACGTTTTGTTCTATTGCGGGAAGGTCTCTCAGGAGCAAAAATGGGACTAATCGGAGCGACTTTCACTCCAGGGGGAAGTGAGGCTTCTCTCAGTAGCGCCCTTAGCTTTTCCTGTCAACTGAATTGCTTTCTCGTAAGTGGATCAGATAAATTTGTATACGATAGAATTTGGAACCGGAGCATGGATTATTCTTTGTGCAAAACGGAAATATTTTCCGCCTCCCACTACCCGAATAATAAACTCGGTGATAGAAAAACAGTCTTGAACGTGTTCGTGACAATGTTTGTCACTTTCCGCGCACACCAACGTCAACGTTTAACGTCAGTAACTGTAACAATCAGTTTATCGTCGCACGTATATTTCAGGCTATTCAGAAAATTCCACTTTGTCTTTGGAGTGGTTAGTTTTATCTCATCACTACTATCTCTGTTCGTCAGAATAAGAGAAAGGAAATTCAATTCTTTTTTTGTTTTGATTGTGTGTGATGACACTATCCCCTCACTTGAGTGTGTTGCGGTGCGGTTGTGTGCATGTCTTCGCCCTTTCTTTACAGTTGTCATCACTGCGGTTGTTCGGGCCCTTTTTTGTAAACTTCTCTGCTTTCGTGCCATTCGGGAAGGGGATGTCCGGCCTTATCCTAGACAATAGGCAAAAATATCGCTTCTTATCTGGCCACGCATTTTCACTCCGACCACGGGCCTACTTTGATGACCGGTAAGGAGTATTCGTGATAGAGCGTTATTGAACTGTGTTGTTTTTCGTCTCCTTTTGGTCCAGCGAATGAGTGCCTGTCGAACAATTTGTTTCTTTCATATGGATGCAAAATCTAGGATTGGCAGTATCGGATGGAACCATTTCGCACTGCGGCTGCCTATTCGCTTTTCCATCCTGATTCCATCCAGTTCGTTGCTTTTTCGAAACCACCTGATGCTTAAAATTGATATGATGTCGTTCTTTGATTATTTTACTGGGGCTATTTTCGTGTATACTTCCTTCCGAATTCCTTCTATCATTCTGGCGTATGTTTTCACTGATAGCGGTGGTTCGGCGCGTTAGGTCGCTGTCACTGACATGCTTCGGACCATTAGATCCGAGTTTCAGCCCCTACCCCAGCCATCCAAATTTAATGGTACGTACCCTCGCTATCGTTCGGTTTGTGACCGCAACTATCTTAGTTTGTTGCCTCTCGGGGTTCACCACTCCTAGGCTTACACTACCATTTGTCCTGACTGAACAATCGGTTCTTTTAACCATGGAGTTTTTACGTGCTATCGCTTATCACAAACGGCGTAATAAAAAGTGGTACAGCGAATTTTCTTCACAATGTGTTTATTAGATCGCATTCATTATCAGTTCACCTCATCCTGAACAGAATATTACCTGGTTGCATCACATTGATATATATACGAACAGATTGTTTTCACTGCCTCGGATGACATTTATACCTTTCAGGTTACAGTGAGTAGTGCTCAGCGTGGTGAGATTGAATTATGGCTCACATCTCCGTCCGGTACCGTATCAAAACTGCTTAGTAAACGACCCAAGGATATAGAAGTTGCCGGATTCCACGCATGGCCGTTTATGTCCGTGCACTACTGGGGCGAGTTAGCCAATGGCACGTGGAAACTGACTGTGCACTCCGGTAAAGCGGTTGGTAAGTTTACTCGCGTCAATATGTGTCCTTGTGATTGCTCTATGAAAGGTATTTCTTTGGTCTATGCATTGCCATTAGATGCTTTGAAAGGATCCTTCATTGTCTACTGTGTGACACCGAACAGCACTGAGTATCATTTGAGAATCCAGTAAAGTACATCTGGTGAAACGATTTCCTATAACCAGTTTATTGTCACGCATTGGCTCCAAAACCTGTGATTCTTTCATCAAATCGTATAGTGTAATTGCCTATCCAGATTACAGTGGGTCGTATCGTTTAACCAATGATGCGAAACGGGGATACGATTTGTATTTTTACCAACAAATGATATTCCATTTAGGGACAGTACATGAACAACATGCACTGTAGTTCTTTTGCAACAGAATATCATTTCTACATTCTAAGCCACAGAACAATTTATCAAACACTGATATGATTCCGGATGCAACAGGTATCTGTTGTGGCCTCTTCTCTCTTTCTCTGTTCTCTTACTCTCGTGTGCACTTTAAAACCGTGATTCCAGTGATATATGCTTTTATTTATTTATATGGAGATTTCATACAACCAATTACTCAAGATTCATTGGCCCAAATTACTGACATTTTTATACATGCAATGTCAACATATTTCGCTGTCCTGTGTATTATCACTCGAGACTGGAGTTTCGTATAGGTGGTTACGGCNTACGGCGCATGTTTTTTTTCTGCCGTCAATCTGACACATATTCCTTCCTCTGGATTCATTCTCATGTTCTATGGCGTTTATTTATGGTATGTGTTTTGGTTAAATTCGTTCCGAACTATCACTGCAACAGGTCGAGGTCAACTGGTCCAGCAGGAGGACATGGTGCTTTGACCAGCTAATCGATTTCACTTTTGTCACACGGGCTGATGAAAAAAGCTACCTATTCATTTTTTTGAAATTTCCTTGTCATTGAACATTGAGTTTTCTCTTAAAGGTGTTATTCTTTGGCATGCAGAAATTACTGCTTTCCCCGCTGTTTCTTTTTCAATAAAAGTGTTTAATGATTCATCTATCATATTTACCAAGTTGATTGTCCCTTGTTTTTCCAGTATCGATTCACGATTGGATTCTCATCTTGTACGGAACAAACACTCCCCCACCCATGCATGATGCTTCCCATCGTCGTGGAGTCCGTCAATTGCCCAAAACGGAGGTCAAACACGTGGACACATCGGGATCTGATTCGATATCACCAACACGTCGCT